GAAAACAGAAAGTCCAAAGAGCAAATTTCTCTCCTCTTCAAGTGTTTATTCTTCATATGGTCACACTAAGATTCCCACTGTTCTTCTAAATTACTTGAATATACTCAACAATGCTTTTGTTCTCCCCATCACGGCAGTCCACACCATGCGATACTGCCTTTTTGAAGTTTCCCAATAATAACAAACTATGTAAAATTTGTAGTGAAAGTTTTCTAATGCTAATGGTTATTTTACACAAAATATTTTAAATTTTCTTTCCATATTCACACATCCATTTAATATTATATTTGGAATTCTTTAGAGCATTTTATTTTACATATATTACAACTCTCATCTTTCCAGTTATTTTATGAATCCTTTCATCCATCTGATGAGATGGCCCTGCAGGTAAAGGTACTCAGCATCCAGCTTTTTCATCAGTATTGGATCCCTTAGTCTCACAGGGTGGAAAGGGAGAACGACGCCAGTAAATCTTCTCTTGATCACCATATACATACTTTGGCAAGCACACAGAGAGAAAGACACACACACACACACAGACGCTAACACATGTGTCTCTCTTGTCATCCAGGCAGACTTTGTCACACACTGTTAATAATGTAGAGTTGGACTTGTGCCATATGGAATCCAAACTGTGGATGCCTGTGGTGACACCCTCATGCTCACTGTCCACATGCTCATGTTGAAAGGGAAGAAGAACAGGGGGAAGCAAAGCTGTCTAGAAAATTGTATTTCTGAATTTACCTTTCATTTAAGTCAGCTGTGATTCTGGTTAATATGTAGACTGTCATTCAAAAGTAAGAGCAGGCCTGAGGTTCTGTATTTCTTAGATGTGCCCAGGTTGTACAGATTCTCTTGATGTCTGAATCCCACTTACAACAGAAATGCAGGGAAACACCGAGACCCCTTTGCCTCAGTTTGCTTGATTTAAAGAACGGAATTCTTTCTTTTTTACACAAAGAGACTCTCAAACTCTTAATCCTAACGTGTTAATTTATGCATTTTATAGCACTGTGTTGTTGTGATCTGTACATCACTAAAATATTCCTACAGCTAAACCTTCCAAGCGGTAAATTATCTATTTCATTTAAACTAAAGAAGTAAATATACCACTAACTCAGGTCATCTAGTACTTCAGGGAAGTGAATTCCTTTTGTATGGAAAAACTATCCAAGAGAGATTGCAGAGTGGGAATTAATTGTATGCTTAAAAACAAATTGTCATGCTGTCTACAGCAACATTTTTGCCCAAATTCTGAAATTATGTATTTAAAGACCTTAAGTGTGCTTCATATGTGTCTTCAAAAATACATTATATTCAAACTGTTTCAGTTTTGTCACAACTTACATCCCACGATAACGTTTGCATTGTTTGTGTAATTAATATTTCAATTAGTCCTCAAGGACAATCTACTTTCCTAGAGACCCACTGCCCAGGTAGGAAAGCAGCGTTCAGGTGAGGAGCGCAGCGTCCAGGTGAGGAGAGCAGCCTTCACGTGAAGAGAGCAGGCTTAACAAGCTACTGCTTGGACAGAGCTTGGGAAAAAGCACTGTTGCTTCGCCGTGCTTTCCATCTTTGCACCTCTGGCTGTGCGTCCTATTTTAATACTTAGAATTAACATTCTTTTATGCAAAAGACTATATACATTTATAGTTGCTAAATTAACATGATTTCATTACTACTGCATCTTCCACTTTAACCTGCAAGATATGATGTGTACTATGGCTTTAGTAAAACACCCCTGTAAAGTGCTAACTTTATTTGTAGTGAATAAATATATTTATTCTAGTTTTTGCATCTATTGAATCAGTGAAATTCAAACAGCACATTTAAAGATTTTGTTTTCTTTTCCCCTTTCTCTTTTCTTAATTTACTTTATTCTTTTCCTCTTCTTTTCCCGGTGATTCAGGAACTCAAGTAGAGCAGATTAGTCCTGAATTCCTGATACTCCTGTCTCTCCAAATATTTCACATACAATAAGAGCAGTCAAGATCTAAGTTTCGTGCTTTCAGAATCCGAGACACTTACTGCTTTTTCATAGTGAATTGAAAAAAAAAAAAAAACAGACATGTTATTGGATGAGTCAAACCAAACAGGTTCTATGAGCCAATCTGGAAGGAAATTTCTAGGTGAAAGACCTGTTGTACTTTATAGCTAAATGAATTAGTTTGTAAAAATGGTAAAAACAAATTTATATACTTATGCATTTCAAATTTCGTACAAAATAAAGTGTCATTCTATCAAATAAATCATGACATTATTGTAAAATGGCAGGTAAAAAAGTAACAGAGGGCTTCAAGTTTTGTTACTAATGAGAACTCATGTAAGTTTCAGTTCTACTATTTGGAGTTGTTGAAAAGAACATATTTACCAAAGAAGTAGTTACAACAGCTAGGTATTTATTTTGTCATGATATCTGTGCTTTCTCGTGTTACAGTTAGGGGATAGCATAAAGGTCCTTAGACTCAACGAATGTAAGCCTTCAACTAGGTTCTGCTCTTTCAGATCTTCTTTCTCTGGGACGTCCTTTAGACTCTAGGACCTCATGTTAAACGTGCCTGGAAGCAATGGTTTCTCCAGAGGACTTGCATGGAAATGCATTCTCTGCGTTGTATTCCTGTGATTTACACTTACCTGGACTGATGTTGGTTAGTGTCTTCACCTGTCATTTGTGCATTGATAAAATAAGTATGAAGTGGACAGTAACTTTTCTCTAACATAGAACATTACCTGACATATGTGTGTATGTGCACATATGTATTTGTGTGTGTGTGTGTGTGTGTGTGTGCATGTGTGTGCATGCTTATAGTACTGAGTTTCAAGATGACATGCTGTTATGTATTAGTATCCAAATTATAATGCCTGACAAAATGGGCACTGTTATAATAAAACATTAAATGTAGCTTTGATGAGTGTCTTTGCAAACAATAGCACATCTAAGTCTTTTGTATTCATTTATGTGTGAGTAGGTATTGTATGCTCAGAGACCAGAAGAAGGTGTCATATTTTGTCACTCTCTCCCTTTTTCTTTTAGAGAGTGTTTTTGTAAAAGCTATGGCTTGCACTGCAGCCCATCTAGAAAGCAGCAAGTCTCAGCAATTCTCCCTCCTCTGTACTTTCACCGACCTCAGAACTGTGATTGCAGACAATTTCAAGGTGACCAGATTTATTACAGTGTTGTAAGAGCTTAGGACTTTTCATGACAGTGAGACACATATCCTACTGGCAGTGCAATCCACTTCAAGAGTATGATGGGCATTGATGAGGCTTCTTATGAAGCTTGTCAGACATTTGAGGTAAAAAAAACAAAACAAAACGAAACAAAACTGCTCTTTGCCTGGACTTCTTGATGAACTGGGCATGCAGGGCCCATAGAAAATGATTGCTGAAGTTGCCTAAAGGTGAGACTATCCTTTGGGATTCCTGCTTTATAATAGAGACCGCCAGACATTTTGCAGGACAGAGAAGAGTACAAGGCATAAGAGATCCTGCTTCATAGAAAAGTCTGCTAGATACTATGGAACAGTAGGCTGAAAATTGGAAGCCCCATGTTACAGAAGAACTTTGGGTAACAGTCCAGGAAGTGAGGAAGTCTCTGTCAATTCTAGAGTTTTGGAAGTTGCTAACAATGCACTTCCTGTTAACTTAGGTAATATTATATCCTTCTGGGGTCTTTGATTGAGTTGAAGAATAAATAATAAGTTATAGTTTTCCTTAATTATGATAAAGATAAAGTAGATATAAATATTGTAACTATAATTCTTGCTTGGTAATTGTTTTGTTATATGAAGTTTTGCTATGTTAAAGTTAAAAACCTTCCTTTTTATTCAAACAGAACAGGGGAAATGGTGTAAGAAGTTCTTCTGTCTATGTGCTGCTTTTTTCAGTTAATAAAGAAGCTGCTTTTGGCCAATGGCTTAACAGAATATAGTCAGGATGGAAGATATATATATACATATATATATGTATATATATACATATATATGTATATATATATAGAGAGAGAGACAGAGAGACAGAGAGAGACAGAGAGAGACAGACAGAAGAGAGAGAGTAAATGGAGTCAGAGAGATGCCTTGTAGACCCGCTGAAGACAGATGCCAGGGATGGAATTTTACTTAGTAAGCCACAGATTAATGGAAATGGGTTAGTTTGGGATATGAGAATTAGCCAAAAACACCCTTAATCTATTAGCCAAACAGTATTGCAATTAATACAGATTTCTGTGTGATAATTTCATGTCTGGGAAGCTGGGAACAAATGAGCAGTTTCTGCCAACAAAAGTTATTTAAACTATAAGTTTAATTTTAATAGAAGGTCCTTATAAAGTTGTTTGATTTCCTCAGCAGAATTTTTTAAACACATGATAAGAAGCCTAATACAAATCATAGGAAAAAAAATAAAGTTTTAGACATGGAATTTTGGAAAAAGCTATTCACAGACTCAAACACCCACATAGTGAGTAACTATAACATAATGCTTTTAAATTACCCATTGATGTTCATTTGAATCTTTAAAACAATTATCTTTTGTTTTATTTATCTCCTTGGAATTTATGACATTCTTATTGATTTTTCCCACTACAAAACCTGTATAATTGGTATCTTAGCTATTGTGGACTGTGAAAGTTTTTAGGTGAAGTAATAAATATCTTGCTGTTTTAAATAAACTTTAGCATATGCTAGTAACAGTAATTAGTAGCGGTTACATAGAATTTATTGAATTTTCTATTATTATACAATTTATTTTTAATGCAGCTGAATAGATCTTGTAGACTAAATTTATCATTATAATTATAAATATTAACTGAAAAATGAACTTGTGTAGTTTAAGTATCTTTTACTTCTCAAGAGTAAATAATTGTGGGCTGTGTTTTAAATAATTATTGACTGATGTAACTTTGTAGAAGTGAATATACATTTCTGGAAAAAAACGATAGAAGTTATTCAAAGAAGACATTCAGATATCTTAGGCACGCCTGTACATTATCTATTACTCACCTTTATAAGTTAGTTTCAGACGAGGAATATTTTGTTTAGATGTTTCAGTGATGGGAAGAAAGAGCACAGTCATGATTAACATCATCCAAGTATGAAGAAGGTGAAGATCTTGACTTCTGAACCTTGGCTTCTCATCTTTATTAGTATTCATGATGAAAATATAGTCTTTAAAACAATGTCAACTCAACCTAAGAAGCAGAAAAAGAAAATAAAATTAGTACTCCAAGTCAATAGCTTAGATTTTCCTAGAGTTAGCAACAGCTGTTGGAATGTATGACATATTTCCAAAGTATAATCTCTCTTTTCTCTTGCTTTGTTTTTACAGACATTTTACACAGAGGCTGAATCAGATCTAACTAATAAAATTCAAGTTTGTCTTTAGTTGGGGGAAAAATACACTAGTAGAAATTTAACTATTTTGTTAATGAATAATTTTCTTCTCCTTAAATTGTTTTAATTTTCTTTCTGTTTTAAATGCAATCTGGGGAACTATCTTTTTTCAAAGCTTTGTGAATCCATCTGTTCATGAAGTAGAATTCTTCTTGTGACTGACAACAAGTCCAAAGGAAAAGATCCTCAAATGGGACTAGACATAAGACAGTATTTCCCCTTTGTTGGCTTACAAGGCTTTACAGATGTTTAGGTTGGTGAAATTGGGTAAGACCATGTTAGGGTAACAGTGCAGACTGGAAGCTTGCCCTCTGCCATGACTGCAGGTGTATCTGCCCCACAGAGGACAAGACTGCATAGAAAATTACTTTGTAAAATATGAACATTTATGAGAAGAAGAAAATAGTTACTAACTCCACTCTCAACAGTAAACTGATTGGATGTTCTTTGTTAAGATAGATAGAAATAATTGAAATAGAAACAATTCAAATGAAACCTGAAATTAAAAGTTACACTCAGTATTATATATTATATATAATATATATTATGTGTATGCAAATATATACATATATGCCATATATATTAGATGTATTTGAAAATATGTTCTATATGACACAAATAATTTAACACTAATGACATCTATGAATCTTAACTCTTAATATCACTATTGAGAAAATGGGTATACAGGTAAAATAATTTCTCCACTGTCACATGATCAAATAAGAAATGAGTCAGAACATCTGATCAGGACTTAATCTAATGGCTGCCTTCATGACTAAATCCTTGTTATTTTCTGTGTTCAGTCAGCTATCTTCTACTTATTAATGGAGTCTTAGCTTCTTTTGCCTTATCATTAAGGTATCATTTGTTTTTTGAGTCAACATTCAATAAAAAAGGTATTGCTAAGTTGGAGCCCAGTAGGCATTCTTCATGTGGTGCCTGATTTTTTAAAGTTATTAGAAAGACAACATTGCTCTTTCATTGTTAACAGTTTCGTACATAACAGATGTGAACACTATGTTAAGTAGTGTTATTAACTATTGTTAATATTCAGAATTAATATTTCAAGCTTATTTCAGTTAGATTTAGAATATTAAATTAAGGTTGTTTTTTTTTATGGGAGATTGGCTATTCAGGTTTCTAAAGTGTGTGACATACTTTCATTTGTTGGTTCAGCCTTGTTCACACTAGGAAATTTTATGCCAGTAAGCTACAGCCCAGATCTATTAAATACTTTCAATATCAAGATTACTTTAAACCTCAGAAAGTAAAATTCATTCATTAAATTAATATCATGTATTAAGGTTTATGAATTTATGCATTGAGGATTAATTTCAATTTTATGCATTTTTAAATACTTTACGAATTTTGCTGAGCAAATTACATTTTTTCAATTACTCTCATTATCTTCAAAAGCAATACAACTGTCCTTTGTGTAGAATATGTCTTTAGCTTTTATGGAGTATTGCATACGAATAGTCACATTTATTTGTACATTTATTTAAAGACATTTTATTAAATGTGCACTTAGCACTAGTTAACTCACATTATCTTGACACTTTTTGAAGTTTTTACCCAAGTGAGTGCAGTGTAACAGATCAAAGATGTGGTAGCTTTTCTTAGTTGTCAACTTGACTACATCTGGGATTAACTAAAACCCACCTGTGAGGGCTTTTTCTTTCTGAATGAAATAATTAGCAGTGGGAAAACCCACTGCTAATCCATATCTTAAAAGGGAGTAGATAAACCTTTAATCAAGATCTTTTGAGATGTGAAGATCTACCTCTAATCTAGACCACAATTTCTTCAGGCAACCTATCTAAAGGACATGGAAGAAGGAAGCTCTCTCTCTCTCTCTCTCTCTCTCTCTCTCTTTCTCTATCCCCCTCTTTATCTTTCTCTCTCCCTCCCTCTCCCTCTCTAGCTCTCACTCTCTTGCTCTCCCGTCTTGGGCTCACCCTTCCTGGCACGTCCATTCCTTCATTGACATTAGAGTCTACTTTTAGGATTTTGGCATAAATTGAAGCCAGCTGAGATCTCTATCCTCATGGGATGAACAACTGCTGGATTCTTAGACCTTCTGTTATTAGCTATCCATTGTTGGATTAGTTGAACCACAGACTGCAGCTATTGCAATGAATCCAGTATATGCATGTACACACACACACACACACACACACACACACACACACACACGCCTTATAATCATTGTTATTCTAAGAAATCTCAACTAACAAAAAAAATAATGGCCTCCTGATAAAAAAAGGAACAAAAAAATGGGATAATGGCAGGTTTAGTGGTTAAAACTGCTTTCAGCACAAGCCTGAGATCAATACCCAGCACCTACCTAAAAATCTGGATGCTGTTATGCTCATCTCTACTCTTAGCACTGCTATGGAAAGATGGGAGAAAAGGACATGAGTATCTTCTATAACCTTACGGACTATATCTAAATACAAGAGAAACAGTGAGGGAGCCTGTCTCAACAAGTGGAAGCCAAGAATTAACTCCTCAAAGTTGTCTTCTGCTCTCCACATGTACACCATGACCCTTGTAAATGATGTTGTCACATCGGTCACCCAAACTTTAGTAAACTTAAAATGATAAATAGATTATCACCCTTTATAAAAATTTGTTTTTCAGCTTATAATTATGCACATATTAATATAACGTACTAATAAAAACCTTATTTAAATTGAAACACTCTCAAAATTAAAATTAAATAATTATTTTATTTATGTATTTTGTGTAAGTGTGCTTGTGTGTATGTTTGTGTATTTGTGTGTGTGTGCATGCTCACTTGTGAACAGGTGCATATCTGTGAGACAGCCAGAGGAAAATCTTGCATGTTATTCTTCAGACACTGTCCACCTAATTTTTATTTAGACAGGGTCTCTCACTGATCTGGAATTTACTGAGCAGGCTAAGTTGATGGGCCATCAAGTCCTAGGGTTTCTTCTCCTCAGACCTGGTATTATAAATTCATTGCACCATTTCTTTTTTTTTTTAATGTTTTATTATTGGGATTCTGAAATTTAAACCTGGGTCTGTATCTTACCAAATAATTTCTCCAAATTCATTTTTTTTAAATGGTGGCTTGCTTCCAGGTTGGCCTTCAGCTACTTTTCTTATACAACTCAGGTCTATTTGGCAAGGGGTGGCACATAGTGAGCTATGCCCATCTCCACCACCAAGCAATAATGAAAATATTCCCACCAACACTCCCACAGGCACATCTAAGGGAGGTAATTCCACGGCTGATTTTCTCTTCTTGGGTAGCTCTAATTTGTATTAAATTGATAAAATTACCCCGCACAATGGACAAATGATTAAAACACAGCAAAAATACTTTTAAAATTGAGATATCAGAAATGTTATAGAAAACGACTTAAGGAAAGGAATAATCATTTATAAATAAATATGTCCTCATGGAGGAAAGAACAAATGATAGAAACAGTAAAGGAGAACTCAAGAAAACGTGATTGCTGACTCTGGGTTCTGGAAAAGCTAAACAGATGGCAAGACAGCTTGTGCTAGATGGCCAAGGCGGAAGGGAAGAAAATTGGAATACAATAAATTGGGACTTGAAGGGAGGTATCAAAGAGAAACTTTAACTCTTGTCTCATTTGCTTTTGGAACCTAATATGTGCATTAATTTACTCTTTTTTTCTGTTGACTTGGTAATGTATGTTGCTTCCATCATTTCTATCAGGGTCTGTCACCTTTCATTCCCACAGCTGTCTCCCTTTTCTTCCTGTCTACCTGTGAGGGGATTGCTGGAGTCTGGTTCCACCCTACCAGCAGACTCACAATGCAAGGACGGTACCTACACCCTCTGCAAACAGTGAGAAGTGAATAGACAAATAAACTGAGTAAATTAAAATCCTAGTTGGGTTCCGGAGATCCTGGGCATATGGAGGACTGCTTTTTTTTTTTTTTTGACATGTAACGGTGTTTGTAACAGAGATGTGTGTTTACATGCAGAGCAAGAAAGAGGACACACCATATGTGCATTTTATTAGCAATAATGACCTCAGTTTGGGACATTTTCTGGAAATTAATGACTAGCTGATGTTAATGACCCTTGGCAATGTACTGAGATAGCTACTCCTCCAACTGGCCATTAATCGCTACGACATGCCCTGGGCCTCCAGCATCGTCCGTTAAAAAGATTGATGATTTGGTTTCACTGAACAGTGGCCATACTGTTTCTCATAAACCCACTCATTCATAAGATCAAATAACTTAAAAATCAAAGCATTGCTTGCTTTGCTATGATGACATCCTGGTAAGTGCCTACACGTGCTGAAACATATACCAAAGGGGAGAAATAAAATACAGAAAAAAGTGTTGGAAATGCTAGAGCTTTTTAAAAATGAATAATTTTCTACTCCTTAATGCATTCTCTACACTCTATTATTTCTGGTCGTTCTTTCCTTCCCAACAAACCTTTAAAATCAGTGTTTTATATATTTTAATAGATTATGAATAGATGCTTTGTCAATAACCATTCTACTAATGGATTGATATTTTCTCTGTGAATGTGTGTGTGCATTTGTATGTGAGTGTCCACATATACACACATAGATGTGCATAAGTCATACATCTGGGGGGAATTATGAATAAATAGAAGTAGGTGTGAGTTACCCAAAGTGGGTGGATTTAGTGAATTGCATAGGTTATACTACATGCTACTGTCTGTAACAAGCTCAACCTGGAGCCAATTAGCTACATATAATCTATTCCAGATGTTCATGGAGACAAACAGCACCCTTGGGGATCTTCAGATGTGGAGTCA